GTGTGAATGGGTGGGTGGGTGGGTGGGTGGGTGGGTGGGCACCTGGGCTGACTGACTGCTCTGACGGATGCGATGCATAGCTGCTGGATGGATGGACGCATATGCCTCACACTGACTGACTGACATTGGAACGAATCAAGACGGCCTGTCCTGTCCGTTCCCAACGCACGGCATTGCATTCGACGAAGTGCCGTCACGTTCACAGAACTCCCCAACCCAACCGTGCCGTGGTTGCCTCCACTCACCTAGACCACCCCTTTGCTGGCCGCATGCCGATAATCCAACAAGTGTACACGCCCTCTCTCCCTCCCTCCGTCCAAAGCCTCTCAGGCTTAATCCCTTCCTCACCTCTGTTTGTGCTTCGTCGTGGTTTCTCTGAGGTTGGCCTCCTGCTGCTTGGCCAGCTGCCTGATGACGAAGTCCCTGTCCCTCTCCTTGGTGTCGTCCTCCAGCCGCGGCCCCTTGCGCTTGAAGAACTCCTTGAGCTTCGTGGGCCGGGGGAGCTGGTGGCCGGCCCCTGCTGGACGGAGGGCGCGCTGCTTGGCCTTGTGGACCGCCTCCTTCGACAGCAGGTGCGTCTGCTCGGCTCTGAATGGATTGGATTGGTGGACGGGCCCACACACACACAGGGGTGGAAGGGCGGGTTGAGGTGGTGGGTGGTCGGGTGCTTACGCGTATTGCTGCAGGATCTCTTCCTTGGTCGCGGGAATGTGCGCTCGGCTGCATAGCATACATACAGGACAGGCAGCCACACAGACACACACCTCGTGTGTTTGGATGCGATGGGAGCTGACAATGAATATATGTCATGCGCACCGCACCTTGCTTTGTCGGGGTGTTTCCTGATCCACCTCCTGAGCTTTGTGATTTCTTTGTCGATGTTCTTCTTTCGGTCCTTAATGAGCCGTTTGCGGTCCTCAATTCCGAAGAAATGCGCTATGTCCTTTGGCGGACGCATCTTGGGCATGTTGGGCTGGCGCTTCCCTGGGGATGGGATCGATGTCAGTCAACGACAGACAGCACACACACGGCAAGCTAGCTTATGTGAATGAGCATCATCTACGTGTGTGTGTCTTGGATCTCTCTCGCTAACCGAGTGCAAAGACTTTCTTGGTGCCTCTCGGGAAGTGCCTGGGGTTGTAGATGCCGATGAATGGCAGCGGGCGGTACAATCGGTCCTCAAGACGCTTCACATAACCTACACACACACACACTTACACACCGCCCTCTCCCTCTCCCCCTCGTCCCTCTCCCTCTCCCTCTCTGTGTGTTACTGACTGTCGTAGTTTGGCACAATAGCGCCGGGTCTCTTTGGCCCATCGGGTGTGTCGAGGAGCAGGGCGTCCCCTGCGTGCTTGCCGCCAATCACAGGCGGCGGTGTGGGGCCGTAAGCAGACAGGCGGGAGGCGGGAGTGGGCTTCTGCTTCTGCTTGTGATTGCGGCGGGGCAGCAGGACACCGGACTCGCTCGAGTAGACCTTACCTGCATCCATACCGTCCATTGCAGCACACCACACAAAAGTGGGTGTGTGTGTGTGTATGGGGGGGAGGGGGAGGGAGGGGAATGGCACGTGCCTTCTTTGTGGGCAGTGAGTTGTTTGAGGTTGTGTTGAGCTTTGGATCCGTCGAGCTCGTCCAGCTCCATCCGCCACTTGCGCTCGTAGCCGCCACGCAGATCCCTCTCATACGTTCCTACATGCCACACCAAACACGCGACACACAACACACCAACACACACACCAAAACATCTTGGTGTGCATGTTGAGTGTGTGTGGTGGGAACATCCGCCCACCGGTGTACTGCGTGCGGTCAGGTGGGTCCGACAGCTGAGTGCCCTGCTTGGCGTGGCGCAGCATCGGCTTCCGCTTCCCAGACATCAACTCGGCCTGCAGGACACGACGAGCGAAGAAGGCACGGACGCCCCCACACCCATGTGTGCATGCGTGTGCGTCTGAGCGTGTGAAGACGTCACCTTGCTCATGAGGTCTTCATGTTCCAGGAAAGTGTCCTGACGGACCCGCCGTGAGTGAGAAGACGACTTGCGACCACCACCAGCTGGCGGCAGTGATGGCATCCTCCCGGCAGCAGCAGCCGACCCAGGTGTCTCTGTGTGGGCCGGCTCGTGTCTGTCGGTTGGTGTCATGGAGAGGTCGAAGGCCAGCCCTCGGGCACCCATCGGCTCGGCGCGCCAGTCGTCCACTGCTGAAGGGATGGCCGGCCGATGCTGATGAGAGGGCGGGTGCACTGGACGAGCGTCGGAGATGTCCTCACCCTAACACACAGAACACACGCAGAGAGAGAGAGAGAGAGAGAGGCGTCAATCGTCTTTTGTCCACCCCCCCGCACGCACCTGTTCCAGCGCTGCCACTTGGCTATCGAGTCTCATCTGCTGTCTCCTCGCACCCCTGTCACCAACACCATCTCGGCCCCCCCTGCCCATGTCGCCTGTCCGCGTCAGACCGCCCACCAGCGGGATGTGCTCGAACGAGAGGGCGCTGTCGTATTCGTAGCCGTGAGAGGCCGCCCTCGCAGAGGGGAAGCGGCTTGTAGGCTGCTCCTTGGTCGCCTCAGGCACCGACTCGTCCCATTGCCACTCATCTGCGTTGTCTTGGTGATGGTGTTGGGTGGGTTGGGAATGGTCATGGTGCCGTCTTGCTGACATGGAACGGAGAAGGGCTGTCCGACTGTCGGATCTGCGCCTCTGCGACGATGGAGGGTCCGTTGCGTCTTCTTTGTCTGCTTCAGTCAGGTCCACCTCGTTGAGCCGTCTCGCGAGCTCATGCTCACCACCACCGCCACGAGCAGCGCCACCATCACCAAGAGCAGCAGCAACATGCCTTTTCTTGTCCTTCATCCTCCGTCGGCCGATCACCCGGCCTCTCGTCAGTCGCCTGTCCCTCCCCCCGTCTGCATCGTCCATGTCGCTCTCGGGCACCATGTCGGTGGTGCTGCCGAGGTCGGCTTCAGAGTCCCATGTGGGCGGCAGGGCAGCCATGGCAGCCTCCATCGACGGCAGGTGGTGGACAGACGGAGGAGAGGGCGACGGAGGAGTGGATGGCTGCTCCTGTTGCTGCTCGTGTTGCTGGTCTTGGTGTGCGATGCCGAGAGATATTGCGAGGTCTTGTACGAGGGTGTGGCTTCTGATCCAGTCACGGTCGTCGAGTGGGTGTGTGGTGAGGGACATCATCAGCTTCTGCTCCGATGACTCATCCACAGCCGATGGATGAGTGGCCGGGGAAGTGGCACCAGGGGGGGGCATATCCATATTGTCTTCATGTTCTTCGGTCTCGTCGATGAGTCCCCAGCGTTTGAGGGCCTTCTGCACGGCCAGGCGGCCGACAAAGGGGTCGCCCTCCTTGTCCAGATCAGCCTCAGATTGCCCCTCCTCAATCGCCTTGGCGCGCTTCTCCTCCCTAACACCGACACACCAACACGTACACAGCACACCCATACACACGATATAGCCGTGTGTGTGCTGTGTCAGCCAGCCTGACCACTTCTTCTTTTGTTCCTGCAGTCGCTTGAGTCTCTGTGCCTCGATGAGGTCGCAGACCCGCTGCCTGATGCCGTCGGTAACGATTTTCTTGGCCAGCTTGACGTTGCCCACCTCGCGACGCACGTCATCCAAACCCTACGCACACACGTAGTGAACGTGTGGACGTCTGGTTGGTTGCAGACTGCAGTGTGGGTACTGACCTGTCTGTGCATTGCGCTGACGGGCAGCACAGGGCCTGCCTGGCCCTTGAACCGAACTAGCTCCTCGCGCAACTGCACAGCATCACATTCACAGCAACCGCAGTGCATTCATTCGTGTGTTGTGTTGTGCTGTCGTGGCTGGCATCTATGTTCTGTCTGTCTCGGCTCACTCACGAGTGCCACTTTCTTGCAGGCTGTTTTGATGCCGACGAGGTCGCATTTGGTCATGACGATCTGCCACTTGACGCCATGCCGCTCCAAGAAGGACAGCAGCTCGCGATCCGCATTCTTGAGACCCACACGGGCATCCACCAGGACCATCACCTACACACACAACACACACACAGAAGGATGGCCATTCAAGACCATTCTGGCACCAGACACCGACCTTTTTGAGGTTTTTTCTGTTCTTGATGTAGTAGAGGGTGAACTCTGTCCACTGCAGCCTCTTCTCCTCCTTGACCTCAGCGTGGCCGTACCCGGGGAGGTCCACCATACACAGCAACGCTGGCTTGCCGATGGCGTAAAACTGCAGCTCCTGCGTCGTACCTAATCCACACACACGACACACACGACACACACCACAACGTCACGAGTGCTCATCTCATCTGGTGTGAGTTGCCAGCCACTCACCAGGCCTTCTGCCGACTTTGGAGATGTTGGAGCGCCCCACGAGCTCGTTGAGGAGGGTGGACTTGCCGCAGTTGCTGCGGCCTGCAAATGCGACCTCTGGGAGCCGTGGGAGGGGCAGCTGGGACTCCTCGAGCGCGGAGGCCGCCCACTTCATCTTGGGCTTGAGCTGGTCGATAAACACGGGGGCGAACTTCTTGTGCCTCCTGTTGAAGTACAGCAAGCGACGCATCTGTTTCGTCTTGGGCTTGCCTGTGTGGACGGACGGTACGCCACACACACAGACACACAGGCACACAGAAACACAGACAGCCATGACACGTGTGCGTGTGGTCTGGTTGGCGCGTACACACCGATGAGTCTGCTGGCGAGGTAGTTCCAGACGTCGGGGAGGATGAGCGCCCTCCGCAGCCGCTGCCGCATCGTGAGATACTGGTCTTCCGGGATGGCTGCACTGGCAGCAGGCTGCTGGCTGTTGATCCTGAAAAATGTGTCACCAATCAACACAACACAACACACGCGTCCATTCAGTGTCGCTATTTCTTTGCTCTCATGTTCCTACCCCATTCCTGCGAGGAAGGGGAAGCTCCTGGGCTGCTGCACAGCGCCACCGTGTGGCAGCACGCCGCCCGCAAAGCACCGAACGGAGATCCTCATGGCGGGTGCAGGCAGAGGGGCGATGAATATTCCATTCATCGCCGAGGCAGATCTGCACATCCACGAGTCAGAATCGGTGCAGAGTTTCCTTGAGCTGCAGCGTTTCCTCTCAAGTTTTCTTAAGTCTGCAAGCTAAGCTCGCAGCGCAGACGCGAGGGAAATTCGCTGGCGAGGGGAATCCCTGCGGAATCCTGAGGGCGTAGGGCCATTCGCCCGTCGCGTGACCCCCGCGAGAGAAAGGAGATGGATGATGGTGGATGGGTTTGACTCCGGGATCGACTGCTCTCCGGCCTCTCCATCACAGTCCTTCTCTCGGGATAGATCTCGAGAGATAGAATGTTGCCTCCAATGAGCTCTGTCGGCTGTGTGCTCGTCTGCGATGTTATCGCCCATCTCCGACGAGATCTCGTCGTGGTCAGCATGCCATTCCTTCTTGGCGACCGCCTCCCAAGCCTCGTCAGCAACAGCTGTGTCACCGAGATCTGTCGTAATTGATGTGCTGGGCTCGGCAACGCCTGCCAGTGCAGCGTCAACGGCGGACTCGAGCGGCGGCGTCGGCCCCCTGTTTCCCTCCCAGCGCTCAAGTCAGGTGTGTGTTGCTGCGGGTGACCGGAGCCCCAGCCCGTCTGGCTCTGTCAATGACGATGCCAAGAAGGCGGCTGCACAGCCTCCCGGCAAGTACCTAGTAATGGATCTTGTGGCCGACGTCTGGGGGCGGGAGCGAAGGCTGCGATTCTATCTCCCTGATGTGCCGGCAAAGATGGGACTCTGTTGGACATTGTCGTGTAAGAATGAGGAGGCAAGGCACCGTCCTGACTACTGACGGGAGCCAAAAGCCACTCGTGCTGTCTGTTTTGTTTGTTGTCTTGGCGGACGCGTGTGTGCAGTCCTCGGGGGCTTCTGGCTGTTCCTGATAGCAGCGATCACAATTGTCCTTGTGCCTGAATCGAAATGGGCCAGCATGTACGCCATGAGTGGAATCGGTAGGCGCAATGACTTGACTTCCCCTGAGCTATTGCCTCCTTGACTGTTTGGTGACCCTGCTTGTTTGCATGTTTGAAGTGGGAGATCCCATGCTGTTGGCCACCGTCAACTTGCTATATCCTTACGGGACGTACAGGAATCTGGCTGTCCAGGTCGTGGCACTCATATATGGCGTCCTGGTGACGGCCTGCGTCCTGGTCTACACACGTAAGGAACAACAAAACAAAGGATGGGAGCAGACAGACAGACAGTCTGACCAATGCACTCCCTGCAACCTCCTGCCGTGTCCGTGCAGCGTTCGGGTATGCGGCCACTTTGCTAGTGCTGTGCATCTATATGGGCCTCGTCACGCCCTGCTTTGCTCTCAACGCCCAGCCACGATTGTTCACAGACGAGGATCATGCGCTGGAGAGGCTGCATGGGAGTCGGTGGCTCTCGCGTGTGTCCAGCTTGTACGGCCTGGTGGATGTCCCTTGTACGCGTCTGCTGACGGCCTCGGGGCATGTGTGGGCGGATCAGAACCGGCTATTCCCTCTGATTCGGAAGTGTGTGCCCTGGATGAGGGGCATGGACGCGCTGGACTTCTGTCAGCTGCTCAAGTACATCGCCTACATGCTCACTATTGTGGACTTCATGTCTGACCTCGGTAGGTAGCTCAGCTGCACACGCCACGCCGCGCCACCTCTCAGCCAACCAGACACCCACTACCTACCTACTGCTGTTGCCGTGCTTTGTTGCGTTGATTGCAGTTGTGGGAATGGGCATGATTCAGCATGACTTGGTGTGGCCCGGGGTGTCGATACTGATCCTCTGCCAAGTGGACAACCTGAGTGCAATCGTCGCCTACTTCATCCGACAAAGGGCCACCCTGCGGCAGCACGCCTGCCTCTTCGCGGCGTCGCTGTTCGAGGTCCCCATCCTTGTCATGACTATCCTGTACGGCCCGGGGATGACGGACCGTGTCACGATGGTCGTCGCCATCACGGCCACCTGCTCGACTATATTCATCAAAGGACTCGCCGTCCTCAACAGCCTCATGGAGCGGCTGCCCAAGACAAAGAAGGAAATGACACCAAAGTGGCCTGACGGCGGAAGTCTCAGTGGCTCGTTTTAGGTTTGATTCAATCCTGCATGCATGGGGTGGG